CTGGCTGTGGAATTCTGGGAGTTGAAGTCCACAAGTCTAAAAAAATTTGAAACCCACCACTGTGTCAGTGCCTCACCAGCCATAAACCTCAACGCTTGTCACTGGTAGAATCCCACCCAGGGGAGGAGGGACTATAAAAAGTTTCTAGTTGGTGTGCATCCTGGAAATTTGGGGATTCATTTCTTTATTATACTTCCCTACTGATGAAACTCACAACTTAGTGCCTCTAATTTCCTCTTAACCAGTTACTTCACCATTATCAATTTAATTGATGACTGCTACTTTAAATAGCAATAGCACTTAAATGTACAGTATATATTTTATAGCATTCTCTGCGTGGTTTACAAATGTCAGCATATTGCCCTCAACAATCTCTGTCTTCATGCAGTCTTTAACCAGAGACTTGGGTTGATCGAACATTTTTTACTCCTCCTACACAATATAAAATTTAGCCTGTCTACCTGTTGCCTTTTCCGATAAGGTGTTTTTCACACAGACTAAAAGGGGTGAAGCATCATTCCCATGATCATGCCACTATTTTGACTTGTTTGATTTTGATCCAGATTAATCCAGTGTCCTAGGAATGTGCCTGATATTGAGATCTATCTGGCTCATTATGGTCAGTATAAGTTGGCAGCACTTTCCAAAGGCTGATTACTCAAGGGATGTATGAGAAACCTCATGTTGGGTTGCGTTGTTGTTTGAACAGTAGCCTCAGAAGCTGCAGGATGAGAAATGTTCTACATCTGATGAGCTCCAACCCAGACAACCTTCTTTTGAAGAGGAGAATAGTTCTTACTGAGCCTTGGGCATCGGCCTAGGACAGGGGTGGAGAATTATGACCCTTTTATGACTCCATCTCCCAGAATTCCTGAGCCAGCCATGCTGGCTTCCCCACTTCTGGCCTAGAATGCCAGACACTGACGCCATTTCTGGTTGGGAAACTGCTCAGGTACTCCCAGTGATGGGATCTTGCCGGTTAAACAACCGGTTTGGTGATTGCGTGCATACAGTTTTAAGAAAACTCCTTGACCTCTCAGCGGCTTTCGATACCATCGACCATGGTATCCTTCTGCGACGACTGCGGGGGGTGGGAGTGGGAGGCACCGTGCTNATAAATGAAATAAACTGAACTGAACTGAACCGGTTCACTCTCAGCAGATCTTCGGAGCTACTGGTATGCCTGAACCTGTAGAATCCCACCCTTGCTACCACTCATGTTTGCACTTTGGGCACAACCCAGTGGTGGGTTCCGGATTCTGCCCGGGCGACACCCACATGGACGTGCACGGCGTGCACTCACATGCACGCAGCGCATGTATGCATCGTACTTGCCTGTGACGCTTCCGCAAGCCTCGGCGACACTCCAGCTGCTCGGCAGAGCATCGCACAGGCACTGTATGCACCATGCAAGTGTGTGGAAGCGCCAAAGGCTTAAAGGACAGGTAAGGAGTTTGGGTGGGCAGGTGGGCCCTCCAGAGCACCATACCAATATGGTACCCGGTGCTCCAGGCAGGCTCCAGTACGCCCATACTGGAGTGTACCACCAGCAACCCACCACTGGTACAACCCCCAGACTGGATCACCTCTTGAACACCATCAGCATTGACAATATCACCATCAGTCAACTGCAAAAGGCAGCTTTACTTGGAACAGCTTACACCCTGCAACCACACTTGTAGCATCATGAAACAAAACAGCCCATAGCAGGTCTTTGGAAAAGAATCAATAGGTTGATAAAAATACCAGATCCAGTTTAAACATCTGCCTCTTTGCACAAATAATAACAACAACAATGTATTTGTTTAGGGGAATCACAGAAATCTGTGAATGAGAGTTGCATTTCATTGAAAAGGGTAAAGTACCATGAGAAAAATAGATAAATAAATGGTTATACTACAATAGATCTAAATTATAGAATATTTTTAAGATGACATAATTGGATAGGGCACTAGGAAAAGCCAGGTCTGTATAAGAAAATGAAAAAAGAAATCTGGAAGAAGACATTGTCTAAATAACTCTATTGTTGACAGAACAATGTGTCCATTGACTACCTATCCTGAAAATGGTCAGATTGCATGTAAAAACTGCCTGTTATATAAACGATTGAGGAGATAACGTAGATAGATGATAGATAGATAGATGGATAGATGGATGGATGGATGGATGGATGGATGGATGGATGGATGGAAAGAAAGATAGATGCTGGGTGGATGGATAGACAGATAGACAGACAGATAGGTATACAGAGATACTGTAGATGGATGAATTATATACATACATACATACATACATACATACATACATACATACATNACAGGTGTACCGGTTCCTGCTGGCAGCACCAGGTACCGTTCTGGTACGGTGCTCCAGAGAGCCCACCCACCCACCCATGCTCCTTGCCTGTATTTAAGCCGGGGGGCGGGGCTTATGCGTACGTGCACGGAGCACATGGCGCCTGCGCCATGCTCTGCTGAGCAGCTGGACTGTCACGGGTGGTAAGTACCGGTTGCACCGGGATCCGCAACCCACCACTGGTCCAGCTGCTTTTACACTCTGTGTGTGTCAGTTGTGCAGCCACGCCAGCCCGGTCACATGACCGCCAAGCCACGCCCCCGTCACATGACCCCCAAGCCACAGCCACAGAACTGGTAGCGGGAAATTCTGAATTTCACCACTGGCCTTCCGTACACGGCCTTTGCTCGCACACACGCCTGTCGTGCATGCCCCCGGCCTCAAAAATATGCCTAAATAGGATGGCGTAAAGCCCGGTTTGGGTAAACCGGTCCGAACCGGCTGAATACCACCTCTGACAAGAGAAAATAACGTAAACGCAAGTGAGGGAGGCGTCGTGGAAATGACGTTATCCACGCCGTGTGGATCCCTCGGGTGCCGAAATATATTTTGAGAAGTTGAGCTACACCTGCTGGGCGTACCATGGAAGTGTGATGGCCGGTGTTGATGTGGTTACACAGAACACGTGCCAGGTTGGGGTTGTCCTCCTGGATCAAAGGAATCAGGAATGCGGGGAGCCCTAAATAGGCCCCAAAATTTAGCTCCTCCAACATGGCCTGCAACAAAGGAAAAAATAACATAGATATTAAGATTACAGCTCGCAGTCCTTGCCTACTCTGTATAGACATAGTATATCCTGTTTCCACGAAAATAAAGACCTCCCCGGATAATAAGCCCAATTGGGACTTTTGAGCGCATGCGCTGAAATAAGCCTTCCCTCAAAAGTACTGCAACACAGCAGTAGTCATGAGGTGANGGAATGAATTATACATTATATTATTCGCTTTCGTGCCTAATTAACCAGACTTAGCTTAGCTTTGCATCTGTTCATTTATAATTAGTAAAAGTACACTTGATTTCAACAAAATGGAGTCCAGTGGTTTTCTTTCCTGATTATTGAATGAAGAAAGGCTGACAACGCGTGCCACAGGTGGCACGCGGAACCATTTGTCAGGCATGCGAGGCGTTGCCCTGTCAGCTGGCCAGAGCGCATGCATGCGCTGGCAAGCTGAGTTCAGCCTTTTTTAAAGCCATTTTCTACCCTCCCCAGGCTCCAGAGGCTTTATAGGAGCCTGGGGAGGGTGAATAGAGCCTCCCGCCACACCCCGGAGGCCCTGTGGGCAAACCAGAAGTTCAGGAATGGACTTGCAGTTTGCTCATAGGGTCGTTTTTAGTCCTCCGGAGCCTTCAGGAAAGCGGGGGAGGCTTTTTTCGCCCTCCCCAGGATCCTCTAAAGCCTCTGGAGCCTGGGGAAGGTGAAAAAAGCATGCAAAAAATGGGGGGATCGCCTTTCATGCACGCATGCACACTGGGGGGTCATGCATTGCATTATGGGTATAGCACGCCTGCGCACAACTCCCCTGTGCTCCCCCCACTTATGACACGTGAGCCAAAAAAGTTTCTCCATCGCTGCCCCATACCATTTCAGACAAATGGCTATCCAGTCTCTTCTTGAAAGCTTCCAGTGATGGAGTACCTGCAACTTCTGAAGGCAAGCTCTTCCACTGATTGATTATTCTACTCACTGTTAGGAAGTTTCTCCTTCATCCCAGGTTGCTTCTCTCCTTTAACTTTTTCCATCCATTGTTTCTGGTTGTCTCGAATGTTCCCTGGAGACCCCACTCCCAGTTCAGGACTCCCTGCAGTGAACTGGAAGGCCAGTGACCGGGCACAGAGGGGTGTGAGGTAGCCTGGGAATGCCACCATTTCTCATTCATTGCTTTCTCCGCAGGTGCAGGAGATCCTGGGTGACCAGCCCAAAGTGAGAGAGAAGATGTTCACCTCTCTCAAGCACTTTGCTGCTGAGCGGAAGGTGGACTACTTGGCTCATGCCCTCTCCCTCATCCTCACTGAGGAATCCCACCGGCTGCTCCTGGACCACATCAGGTATGGCTGCTTTTTCGTGGGCATCCTGGGTGCAGCAGCCCATAGGCAGATTCCAGCATCAAAATGTTGCGTGATGGCTCTGCTCTCGCCTTGCCCAGGGAGTCCTGTGGCAAAATGGTCATGATGGTTGATCAAAGCTCTCCACCTTGTAGTCCAGCTCCTTCTCCACTAGACAACTATGCCTCTGGAGCTGAACGGGGGTGGGGTGGGGCCTGGTCCAGAGTCTTCCAAGGAACTCCTACAGTTGAAGATCATGTCTTAGACTTGAAGGCATTTTTATGGTTCTTTGTTTTTTTTAGCAATAGCACTTAGATTTATATACCACTTCATAGTGCTTTCCAGCCCTCTCTAAGTTGTTTGCAGAGTCAGCCTCTTGCCCCCAACAATCTTGCTCCTGATTTTACCCATCTTGGAAGGATGGAAAGCTGAGTCAACCTTGAGCCTGGTGGGATTTGAACTGTCAAACTGCTGGCAGCTGGTGATAAGCAGAAGTAGCCTGCAGTAGTGCACTCTAACTACTGTGCCACCACAGCTCTTTCCTATGGCATGGCTTCCCCTGTTTAGCAATTTTATTCTTTTTATGAAGTCTTCAATTTGCTGGTCAATATTTGCTGGTCAATAAAGTATGTATCCAAAGGGACAGAGGTAGGTAGGTAGGTAGGTAGAGGGAGAACCATTCCTGAGAGCCGTAATATTCAGAAAGAAGTTTTGGGGTGACTGGCTGAACGGATTTGCTTTGGCTGAAATGTTGGTATTGCTGGAAATGGACCCTGGGATGCAAGCTCTCTGCCCCAGGGGTCACCAACCTTTTAAACCTTGAAATTCACCCTTGTGAATTTTGAAATTCATAATTTAAATCCCGTGGACCACTAATATGATTTTTAAAAAAAGATAAATAGTATTTAGTGCAATATAAAAAATGCAAATATTTTTTCTGTGGACCACCAAAATTTCCTTGCGGACCACCAGTGGTCCACGGTCCACAGACCGTTGCTCTGCCCCTCAGCCAGGAAGATGGGCCAGGCATGCTGTCCCAACAGGAGGACCTGGCAAAGGTAGAGCAGAGCTGACCCCAGCTATGGCCACCCCTGAGTGTGCTGGGGGAAAGCTGATGGGTACCTGGAACACAACTGGGAAGGAGCCTATCCAGACAATAGCAGTGAGATAGGATGGATGGGATGGGAGTAAAGATTAGCCAGCAATCTCAGCCCCCAGGCTGGCCTGCTGCAGACCCCCCTTGCCACTGCAGTCTCCCTTAATAACAGCCCCTCCCCTTTCCTGCAGCCGACTGGATGTTCTGGTGGGAGAGCCGGGAAGATAGACTGTCTCGCCCATTCATTCTAAAGATAGACGGGTGTGATGGAGAGGGAGAAATGTATACGGTTCACTTCTGCCCCAGAGTAAGAACGGGGCTGGGAGCGTCTCCGCAAAGCCTGCCTGTCAGGGGCTTATGCAGATAATGCTTCCAACCCTGTTTTCACGACAGGCAAACTGCAGAACCAAAGACCCCAAGTAGCTCTTGAAACCTCAAGTGCCACCATGCGCTCCACCGGCCTCCCTTCCACCCATAAGTGGAAAATAGCTTTATGGTAACAGCAGGGATGAGGAGGAGAATGGTGCCTGGGGGAGGGGGGGGGGCTTGTATGAAGCACCACAGCATCTGCTGCCCTCAAGCCAGCCAGATCAGACATCGTGTGACTGCTGGAAAGAGACGTCCTTGCAGCTCCAAAACTGGGGAGGGTCTCTAGTGGAGCAAAGACCCAGTGGTGAAATTCAATTTTTTTACTACCGGTTCTGTGAGCATGGCTTGGTTGGTGTGGCAGGGGAAGGATACTGCAAAATCTCCATTCCTTCCCCATTCTGGGGCCATTCTTTGCCAGTTCTCCAAACTACTCAAAATTTCTGCTACCGGTTCTCCAGAACCTGTCAGAACCGGCTAAAGCCTGGCCTGCAGGCAGTTATCCTTTGGGGCTTCCTTGGGAGTCAAACCCCTAGTTCTAAGAGGAGCTTTCCTTAAGGACAAGCAACCCACCTCCCCATCAGTCACTCCCCCCCACCCCTCTTCAGGGTTCCTGCAGGGAGGAGGGGACTTTTCTCCTGGGACAATTAATTGGCTCCAGAGAAGAGGGGAAACTGGGGACCCTCAACTGTTTGGAAGCAGAGATGTTTTCCTGCACTTGACAGTGAATTTCTGGGGAGGCCAAACCAGTGATGAAATTCATTTTTTTTTTACTGCCGGTCCTGTGTGTGTGTGGCATAGTGTGGCTTGGTGGGCATGGCAGGGGAAGGATACTACAAAAACCCCATTCCCTCCCTACCCCACTAACCTGCTTTCCACCTCCGTTCTCCGTTCGCAACAAAAGAAGGCCCAGCCAATCAGCTGGGACTCAGGAGGCAGAGAACAGATGGGGGCGGGGCTAGCCAGAGATGGCATTTGCCGGTTCTCTGAACTACTCAAAATTTCCGCTACTGGTTGTCTACAACTGGTCAGAGCCTGCTGGATTTCACCCCTGGCTCAAACCACATGTGTTTGTCAGAGAGGGACATAACTGCATGTTGGGGCATCCAAACAGCCAACAGTAGGGGTGTCTTCAGGATGGCAGGCAAAAAGTTCAAGATGGCAGCCAAGGCACAGCAATTGGAGCTGTGGCCACCATCTTGGCTTTTTGGCTGAACCCTGTGGATATGTCTGGCTGACGGGCTGTTGCCAACAGTTGCCCTAAGAATTGGGCAGAGCTTGCTAGTAGCTCTTCAGGATCACGAGGGGTGGATGAGGGACCTTCCTATCAGCTGGAAAAGCCCCTGGAGATTGGTACAAGATGAATGAAACCGAGACGGACTGATTTCCCAAAACGGACACGGGACTTGAAGGCAGAAGGTTGAAGAAGAAACTTCTCTCTAGGAAGAGAGGCAGGTCAGTGAGATCTCCAGCAGGCTGTAGCTTCTGCTCTGAGTGTGTCCAGGGAGCATTGAGGCAGGGTGGCGGGAAGACGGCATCCACAATCATGCAGTTAAATGTGCTCAATCATCTTTTTTAAAAAAGGAAGACGGGACTTTGACCGAGTGGCTGTGGCCACCATCTTGACTTTTTTGACCCCCTTGGGTGGACATCTCTGTCCTGAGGGGATCCTGGTCTCAGCCAGCCTTCTGAAAGCCCAGCTCCCTTAGAACTGTATTCACAGTGGCTTAGATCACCCATCAACTCAAATTTTGAAAGACAAACCCATTAAAGATTTATGGTATAGGTTTTATGTGCAGCCACCTTCTCCTCCGCTCTATGGCAGAGGAGTTAGCACTGCAGCTGGGAAGAGCCAATTGCAAAGAACCAGAACAAACTTGCTGCAGCAAAGCTGGCTTTAAACTAGAAGCCTGCCAAATCGAGTCATGCTCAGACTCCGGAGGTTTGAGAGGAGTCCTGGTGGGTGGGGGGAGAGGGTTCCTTTGGTGGAAAGGGATGCTTTGGTGGTCCCAATGTCTGTGAAGAATAATGCCTCCCTGAAGCTGGAACAGAAGAGAACAGAATAGAAGTTGGAAGGGACCTTGGAGGTCCTCTAATCCAACCCCCTGCTGGATCAGGAGACCCTATACCAGTGACAGTGAATCTTTTCGGTGCTGAAAAGGCAGCGTGCACGTGAGTGCTTCGTACTTTGCATGCACTCATTTGTGCCACAACCCAGAAGAGGAACTGCCCGGAGGCATGCATGCACTGGAAAATGAACTTCTGGTTTCCGGCACACACATGCACGCCAGCCAGCTAGTCTTCTGGTTACTGGCCTGCCTGTGTGCATGAGGATCAGCTAGATGGCACGCATGCTCACGCAGGAAAATAGAAGACCAGCTCTTCCAGTTTCCGGCACTGCTGCACGGATGAAGGCTAGCTCATTGTCGCCCGCGCGCATCAAAAACACAGAAGGGGAACGGGCGACACGGCTCCACATATTGTCAGCACTCCTCCATTAGATAATTAGGAAAGGAAAACCATGAGACTCCATTGATAGAAATCAAGTGTACTTTTACTAATTATAAATGATCAGAAGCGTAGCAAAGCGAAGACTGATTATTTAGGCGCGAAAGCAAATGATATATAGAATAACCCATTTCCCACCCCTTGGCATCCCAGTTACAGTCCAATCATAATTCTCCCAAGTGTCAGGTGTGAGATAACTTCGAAAGGCATACCCAAGATGGAATGTCGGTGCCGTTTGGCCTTGGCGGGAAACCTCCTCCGCATGCGCAGTAAGACAGGCAGCAAAACTCCAGAATCTTCCTCCAGCACAATTAGTAATCCCCTCCCAAATACCATGCTCCCCTCCCCGTTTCAATGGTAGCCGAAGCAGCAGCAAAGCAGAGGCTGACATCCGGCCCTCCTCTGGAAAAAGATGGTCAGGCCTGGAAAACGACAAAACACAAACAAACAGACAAACAACAAAAAACAGAAA